CTTCCATTGATTTACCTATTTATTCTTCGAACATTTTATTTACTAGGCGTTGGTAAGTAGCCCCCGCATTTTTTAGCCCGAAGGGCATCACATTATAACAATATATTCCATATTTGGTGACAAATGAAGTTTTTTTCTAGTCTTCCGGGCTCATCTGGATTTGATTATACCCGGAGTAGGCATCGATAAAAGTGAGGATCTCGTGGTCGGTTGTGGCATCGATCATGCAATCGATGTTGGGCAGCGGAAAAGAATCTTTGGGGCATGCTTTGTTTAAATCCTTATAGTCCACGCACATCCTAAGTTTGTTTCTTTTTTAAGGCACTACAACTATATTGGCTAACCATTCGGGATATTTCACCTCCCGAATGGACCCTATCTTGAGAAGTTTGGTTACCTCGTCTTTTACGAATGGGTGTTTTACCTCGGACTGGGGTCTTCTCTTTTGCTTTACCGGTCTGAACTTAGGGTCCAAGCTTATCCGATGCGTCGTTATGTCCGGTGGAATCCCTGTTATATCTAAATGGGATCAGGCAAAACAATCAATGTTATCGATAAGAAATTGAACAAGTTTCTTCCTGAGTTTGGGGCACAACCCCATTCCCAAGTATACCTTTCGTTCGGGCCAGCGCTCGATTAGTGTGACTTGCTCTAATTCCTCAATTATTGATTTGGTGGCATTGGAGTCATCGGGAATTACGAAGGATCGAGGGACCCTCTAATCATCATGTTCTTCGATCACCTGGTTTTCTGGTTGGGTCGAAGCCAATGTATGTGATTGCTATTTGGTGTCTCGTTCTCCTTCTGAGGCCGATCCCTTTACTGACGAAGGCGAGGATATTGGTTTGGCTTCCTCGACGGCGAACATTTATTTTGCGGCTGGTTGTTCTTCGTACACCGTTTTGACTCCTCTCGATGTTGGGAATTTGAGGACCTGGTGTAGGGTCGAAGGTACAGCTCTCATGTTGTGGATCCATGTCCTTCCAAAAAGGGCGTTATACCTCATGTCGCCTTCGATCACGTGAAACTTTGTTTCCTAGATGGTTCCGGCCACGTTTATTGGTAGAATTATCTCGCCTTTGGTGGTTTCATATGCCATATTGAATCCGTTTAGAACCAGGGCTGCGGGTACGATCTGGTCCCACAGACAGAGCTATTCTACGACCTTCAATCTGATGATGTTGGTCGAGCTACCTGGATAAATCAACACACGCTTAACTTTAGTTTTATTCATGAGTACGAATATTACCAGTGCATCGTTATGAGGTCGTACTCCCCTTCTGCATCTTCATCATTGAAGGACAAGGTTCCTATGGGTATGTAATCCTAAGTTCGAGATCGCTTTTCTCTCACAATCGATGTTTTAGTGCGTTTAAGCACTAGTCCCTGAGGGGTATCAGCACCGCCGATGATCATGTGAATGACGTGCTGCGACTCTTTTTGCTTGTCGAAATCCCTATTTTTAAAATAGTTCTTCGCCCTATCGCTAAAAAATTCCCGAAGGAGGCCTTTGTTAAATAACCGGGCTACTTCCTCTCTTAGTTGCCTGTAATCTTCCGTTCTGTGGCCATGGATGCCATGATATTCGCACATTTGATTGGGATTCCTTTGGATAGGATCGGTCTGTATGGGTCGAGGCTATCTAGTGTCTTTGATGCGTCCGATAGCAGACACGATGGCGGATGCATCAATGCTGAAGTTATATTCCGATAACCGAGGTGCTTCTATAGGATCAACATATTTATCGAAGCCGTTCTTGCTCATAAGTCCCCTAGAATTTTGCCCTCGATCAATCCTTCGATTGTTCCAAGCGGTGTTGCGTGTTGAACTGTTGTTCATCCGATCTACAACGTACGATTGATATCGGTATCTGTTCGACCTTTGTTCTCTATCGATCTCCCTTTGGTTTTTAGTAGCTGTCCTGTTCTGATGCATGGATTCAAACGGAGCTCCCAACTGGTCATCTTCGACCCTAATTTTCGACTGATATCGGTTGTGTATATCTGCCCAAGTTATTGCTGGATACTCAATCAAATTTTGCTTCAGCCGATGCGATGCTATCGAACTTTGCTCGTTCAACCTTTGGGTGAAGGCTTGGACGGCCCAATCGTCTGTGACCGGTGGCAATTCCATGCGTTCCATTTGAAATCGGGATACAAATTCCCTCAACATTTCATTACCCCTTTGCTTTACTTTGAATAGGTATGATTTCCTTGTTGCAACCTTTATGGCACTAGCATGTGCCTTTATGAACGAATCTGCTAACATGGCAAAAGAATCGATGGAATTTGGCGGCAGATTGTGATACCAAATCATTGCTCCCTTCGAGAGGGTCTCCCCGAACTTTTTCAACAATATAGATTCGATCTCATCGTCTTCCAAATCGTTACCCTTGATGGCATATGTGTAAGAGGTGACGTGTTAGTTAGGATCGGTTGTACCATTATATTTGAGAATTTCGAGCATACGGAATTTTTTGGGGATTGGTTTTGGGGCCGCACTCGAGGGAAAAGGCTTATGTATGAAATTTTTCGAATCCAGCCCTTTTATCATTAGTGGAGCTTCGGGATTTGATCGACCCTGGCATTGTATGTTTCTACTCTCTTGTCATTGGCTTCGACACGTTTTGTGAGTTCCTCAAGCAATTGAGTAATTTCGGAAGTGGTCCCCGATTCTTGCTTGTTTGATTTCACTATGTCGGGTTCCGTTCTGGGGGTGATTTCCCGAAGCGGACCGGAGTCTGGTCTGCTTTGTATATGAGTTTGGCTCTGCAACTGAGCTATCTTTACTTATTGGGCTTGTAACATCTCGAAGATCATGCGCAAGCTGACTCCGATTTCTCCCTTGTTATGGGTGTCTCGAGCTACTGATCGGGTACCGCCCTGAATGCTTTTTTCCGGTTTGGAACGTTAGTTCGCTTCAAGAGCCACTTGCGAATTTACATCTAATGGTACTTCAGCTCGAATTTCAGGTACTTCGATTCGAGCCTCAGTGCCATCGTCAAGCGGCCTTCCGACCCCGGGTACCAAGTTGTTGGTCTCATCTTAAAGGCCGACTTCGTGGTCGATAGGTAAAGCCATTGCTGATTCGAGGTTGTAGATTGGTGTGTACTGCAAATTTATATCAAACAATCACTGTTATCCTTAGCCCCACGGTGGGTGCCAAACTGTTTACCCGAAAAATCAGATAACGTTAAATTTGTATATGGTTCTAAGGATATGTGATACAATTTGATACAAATCGTATAGGGAAATAGAAATATTTCTGTTCTTGGCTATGAGAATAGGAATAGTGAGCAAAAGAATGAATAAGGTGAAACAAAATAAGCATGAGGAGATCTCTTTCAATATGAGAAGTGATCTTTTGTTACAATGTATTTTTTTTCTCTCTGCCTTGCTTACAAGGATCCCCCCTTTTATAATAGAGGGATCCTACTTCATTTATAATAAAATAAAGCATATAGTGGAGGACCCATGATGATTTGTCTCTTCCTCGATTCCCGCCAAGATTCCCTCTCTTAATGTGGTTGTAACGACTCTTGTCTGTGAGCTCGACACTAGCTCGGGCTCGTTATTAGGTCGAACCCTCGGTTTTGGCTTGAGTCCGACCTCCGGGATGGGCATAGAGCATTTCTGACCTTGAAGCAATGCCTTGCGGACCGATTCGGTCACGAGCTCGATGAAAGTATCGAGCCGACTCCTCGATCAGCCTTCGGACTCGAGGCTCGTTTGTACTGCCTTCGGAACTCATCTCAAAATCCCACTCCGGTTGCTTATCATTCGAACTCGATCGAACGTAGGAAGACCGAAATCTATTTTGACCGTATATTCTAAAATCTCCACCCTGGAGCTATGTTATTACTAATTCTGCTAGCATTAAGTTCTTTAGCTCTAGTCTAGGTTGATTTAAGTGCTTTAAATTAGCTTATTGCTTTTGAATAATTTTAAAAATAAGTTGCGCATTGAAACCAAAATGAAGCGATCATGTGAACTTTTTCTATGAATGGAGCTTGCTTGTATTACGTATTATGATAAAAATAAATTGTTGTTGACACAACAAGAAATAGGTAACCGTAAAGAAAACAAGAAGGAAGAAAATTGCAAAACAAACCTATAAAAGGTTAGTTTTTCCAACAATTAATCGTCTTCACACACACTTATCTTCGTACATGTTTAGACTGATAACTTATAAATCCAAGAAGATGTCACGTAAGGGAATTATTCAAACTCTTTCTTGTCTTAATATCTTGCTGTCTTCTTTCTATAAGTAGTGAGTTATTGTCTCAAAATTGCAACACTAAAGTTTTTCAACCTTTTCGTACTAATAGCAGTAACTTTTGACACCATTAGCTGTTGTCGCTTAAAGTTCGGTTAGTGCAGTTCCTCAATTAGAATATGTAACTGTTATGGAAGAGTACAAATTTTTTGGCTTTAGAGCCTAGTTTATTGGATTCAAATTTAATATTTCCGATAAGCAATATAAATATACATGTAAAAATTATTAAAAATTTAATGAATATAAAATTTTAAACTCATAATTTCAAATATTTATTCAATGGTAGGAACTTATCAATTGAACTATCTAGTTTAAATACTAAATTCGTCTCTGTATATATATATACACACACTTCACTTAGCACATGCAATTGTAAGAACTGAATTGGTTTTGATTCGAAACAGAAAATTAACTCTTCCTTGGTTCAAAGCTACACGTCTCCTGTTTAATCTTTCTTGAGTTACCTAAACCAGGGTTAAGGCCAAACTTTATAGTAATTACCCTCACTTGATATTAAGAGAAGTGAACTATATATAGGTGGGACATGTGATTTACCTTTTCTCGTACCTACGTAAAGCTAAGTTATTTATATAAGAGCATGCATACTGATGTTAATTAACTAATTAACCTAAGAGAGAGTGAAAGAATTAGCTGATCACCTAATTAATTAAAAGGTTGGTGCTATCTTTCATTATAGTATAGGAAGTATGAAAACAGTGATATTAATGGTGCTAAGTCAATTAGCATCTGGAAGTGTAAACATTTTGTACAAGATTGCTGTTGCTGATGGAATGAATGTCCAAATTATGGTCTTCTACAGATTGGTTTTTGCCACTGCTTTCATGGCTCCTCTTGCTTTCATTATTGAAAGGTTCTTTAATTTCCTTTAATTTGTTTAGTGTGTAAAAGTAGTACTGGAATTTCACAATCTTCTTTTCTTTTGGTGCTTTAATATTTGAATATATTCATGAAACTTTTTTTCTACTAGAGAGTCATTTGACACGTAAATAATGTTGAAGTGCAACCTTTTAAGTTGAATAATGGAGCACTTTGATTAAGTATCAACAATATTTTGTTTATACTACTGCTTTTGAGAGTCTTGTGTTTCTTTCATGCATCGTTGAAGTTCACTTTTTTTTTCTTTCACTTTCAATTCTTTATTACTAGCATTTTTCTAACGTACCGATATATAAAAAACAATTTAAGGATTGAATCAAGATCAGCTTGTTTATACTTATTTTCTTCTTTGCTTTTGCAGAAGAAGTAGACCAAGATTAAGCTGGACAATAATCTTCCAAGGGTTCGTGAATGGATTGATGGGGTGAGAATTACAGCTAATGGATAATATTCGTCGCATCACTTTCAATTATTTCACTAAGAGAGCAGTCCGATGCATAAAGCATTTTGCATTCACGCAGAGTCTGAAAAAGGTTGCAAGGGTGTGTTATAGGGATGCAGCCCTTCCCCGACCCTACGTAAATACAGAATGCGTGCATCGGGCTGTCCTTCTAGTGAAATAATTGAAAATGGTGATACGAATATGAAAATATTAATCAAAACTTTTTAGAGATGAATAAATAAATTCCTAGCACTTTAAAAGACAATACTCACATTAAGAAGAACTTTTAGTCCTAACTTCTACCATAAAGGGAAAATAATATGTTTGTGTGCGCGCTTTGAGCACATTGTTACCTCTTTCGGCCAGGTTTTTTCACTTAAAAATCACCTCATAATATCACTCCATATTTATTAAAAGTATTTTTCTTATCACTAGAAAAATGCCACAGCCCCTACACACGTAATCATCCTTAAATTTTTGGAAATAATTTGGGTATATTTATTTTTACAGAGCAGCACTTGGAAGCAATTTTAATGCGGAGAGTTTGATTTACACGACGACAACATTTTCATCAGCCATGTCTAACCTTACTCCTGCAGTGACATTAATTATGGCTGTAATTTTGAGGTAATTCTTTTCTTCAAAATTTACTGGAATCTCTTAATTTGATGTTTACATCTTATGTTATATTGTTTGCCTAAGATCAATTGTTATCAGAAGAGATGGATATGAAAGTACATATACTAGCCAAATATTACCAGTGGCATGGAAGATTCAAGAATTTCTTTTATATTAAAAAATGAGTACTCTGAAAATGAATGTGTGTAGGGGTGACAATAAGAAATTTTAGAAATGTTTTATGTCTTTTTTATACCATAAAAATTCCAGCTTTTGACTTTCTCGGGCAAACTTTTTTCTTATCGTTTCCTATTAGTGTCATTTTGACTAAGTGTACGAGGAGCTAAGGTATTCAAAATCAAAATGTAGATGCAATTAACTTTATTTTATTTATTTCCAATGATTTGTAATAATATTTTTGGCCATGATATTCACAGGATGGAAAGCTTGGACATCCATAGATTAGCGGGAAAAGCCAAGTTGCTAGGAACTATATTGGGCATTATGGGAGCACTAATTCTGAACCTTTACAAAGGAATGAAGATTCCATTTTGGTCTGCCAATATACATCTTCTTCATAATGCTAATGTCACTGCAACATCAGCACAACCAACAACCTACAACAATGTTTGGGGTTCAACACTTGCATTTTTAAGTTGTGCTTCTTATGCTTCTTGGTTGATCTTTCAGGTCATTTTTGCAACTAATTTCTCCATTAACTAAATTAAGATATAATCGTCGTCATACAATGTATTATGTGTTCTATTCTCTTTTCTTGACATCAGGGTAAGATGAGGCAGAGGTACCCCATGTACTCAAGTACTGCATTGATGTGTTTTTGTGGGGCAATAGAAGCAGGCATCTATGCTTTTTTAAAAGAAAGGGATTCATCTGCCTGGAAACTTGGCTGGAATATCAGACTTTTCACTACTGCTTATTCGGTATGTCACTCAATTCTTAAAAGCATTAGGGGGGAATGAAACCAACACGCTAATCGATTCCATTCTCGAGTTTTCAACATTTTCTACACTGTTTTCAGGGCATTGTTTCTTCAGGATTAGCAGTAACCATGATAGCATGGTGCACAAAGCTAAAAGGGCCTCTCTATGTTTCTTCGTTCTATCCGTTGGCACTTATCTTTGTAGCCATAGTTGGTACGCTTGTTCTTCACGAGGAGCTGCACCTTGGAAGGTAAAAATCAACCCTATGACTGTCCAATTGCAGTTCATTTCATTCAGAAACTAATGATTTCTGCTTATGATGATAGCATTATAGGATCAATATTCATCATTGCCGGCTTATATATTGTGTTATGGGGAAAAGCCAAAGAGATGAGAATAGCTGAAACTGAAGCCTTAAAAAGTATAGCTGAAACTGAAGACTTAAAAAGTAACAACAATGGAGTCATTGAGATCATCTCATTTGCTGGTGGAAATCTGGCTACTGCTGCAATAGTCCCAGAATTAGAAACTGATCATCAAATTGTTACTACATCAGCTGCAACACTTCAAGAAGCATAACGGGAAGACCCAACTCATATATCCAATCACCAGTTATTCTATGCTCAAGTTCAGCAAAATCAAATGTTTTTTTTTTCACTTTTCCTGATTTAGTTCAAGTGGAGCACAAGAATTTGTAGATCCATGTATAACAAATATCTCAGTGAATAAAAAACTAGAAAAATTGGAAACCATACTAACTCGTCATATTGCAAAAAGCTAATTATATAGTATGTTTAAACGTACCATTGATGAATAAGATGAAAATATAGTATGTAATCAGAACTCAAACCACAACCAACAAATGAATGATTAAATCTAGCTAATCACAACTTGTTCAACCAACAAAAAACAGCTCCACTCCATCCACCTTGCAATCTTCGACCAACTAAGGAAAAAAAGTTTGATTTTTCAAAGCCTTACCGCATTATGGTTCACTTATCCTATTAAGATTTGTCCGACTTCTTTTCTTCTATTACAGTTTTCTCTGCATCGGCAGCTGGTTTTTCTTCTGCTTTCGTCACCACTGGAGCTTCAGATTTTGGAGCCTCTGTGGCAACTGTTTTTTCTTCTGCTTTCGTCTCCACCGGAGCTTCAGATTTTGGAGCCTCTGTTGCAACTGATTTTTCTTCTGCTTTCTTCTCCACAGGAGCTTCAGATTTTGGAGCCTCAGTAGCAGCTGGTGCCTCTTCTATTTTCTTCTCTGCAGGAGTCTCTGCTGCCACTGTTACTTCCTCTACTTTCTTCTCAACAGGAGTCTTGGTTTCTGATTTTACTTCCTCTATCTTCTTCTCCTCAGAAGTTTCCGCTTTGGGGGCCTCTATTGTGGATACCACTTCTAGAGCTCTTTCTGTCTCTGTCGTTACAGGAGCATCAACAACCTTCTCAACTTCATTTGGCTTGGCTTCTGATGGTTCGGAAGCTTGTGTTATCTCAGATGCCTCCTCTTTCACTTGCTCCGATCCCTTAACTTCTTCATTCTGCGACAAAAGAAATGGAACATATCGGAAACTAGACAAATGCTACCAAACAATATCAAATCAATGTTCCCCTTCTTGTGCTTTGTAGCAAAGCAACTATCTTTTTGCAGTAAATGGTAACTATGAGAACAAGCATAGAATATCCTGTTAAGTCAAGTCAAATAAGCTGGCAATTGAATGGTTAAACAACAAACTCAACCAATCTATCAATTCCATTCACATTTATGACATAAAGTTGAAGTCAAAAACTATGAACTAAAAACAAAACTATTTCATTTCTTCCATGTGGGGTTGAAAGGAGAATATATATATATATATATATATNTCATTTTTTTCCTTTCTCTTCCTCTTTGTAGTTTCTGATGAAGCTGTATTATGTTCTTTACACAATCTTGAAATTTTTTATGTTAAATGTGAAAAAGTTGCATTACATTTTCTACTGGAAACTTTCTAGGTAATTAAAAGGTACAATATACTTATAACCAAACAATCCAGAATGACCCTAATGTCAGTGTCGCTATAATTGAAAAAAAGTGAGTTAACATACATGAAAACCAGTGAAACAAAAAGGCAGACAAAGCCAGCAATATTGTCTAGTATAAAAGCAAGATTATAATAACAAGACTACACAGAAACAAAAACAAAGAGGAAGAAAACAAGTTTAGTGGTCCATTACCAAGAAAACAAATACCCTGTTTGGTTGTCAACAACTCAGAATCCAATTGAATGTCAAACATCATTACCAAGATTCTTTTAGACCACAAAGACTCTAAATATAGCAATTAATCTGTACTTACACCACACCATCTCTGTTCCAGCCACGCAAATTAAAGAATAAACAATTTTAACACCAAAAAAGTTAAGTTTGGTTTCAGAATTAAGGATATCTTTAAGAAAAGATAAAGAATGCCGACAAAAATACTAGTGAAAAATAAAGGGATGGACCATATAATTATGATGACAGTCCATTAATGTCCAAAAAAGTAATTACATGTTGGTATTAATTTATATCACATTCATTAGGCCTAGAGTAGCGTTTATGACTTGCTTAAGTACACCTTCTTGCTTTCTCATGGGTATTAATGTCTATCATCAACATTCCAGTAAAAATATCCAAAAAATACAACATTAGATGCAAAAATACTTTATTTTTGTTAAATTCAGAGTCAGGAATTGATGGAAAACCTAAAAAAAAGTAATCCACCTCTCTTTTTGATAGCCGTTAAGGTGGATTATCATCATTATAAATAACATTATCCAGTAGTCCAAAATAAATAGAACAAGATACTTCCTCCAGTCCTTTTCAATTATCATGGTTACTAAAAACAATTGATAGACTAATATAAATAAAGGTAAATTAGTAAAGAAAAAAAAGTTGTTCTTATTAATATTTTATGAAGGAGCGTGTAAAATGCAAATATGACAATTAAAAAGAATTGATGGCAGTATTAGCAACAATTTTTTTTTTATAAATGAAATAAACTTCTACAGTGATATTTAATTTTTTCTTTACTAAACCATAAATAAAATAGGAAGATTCAGCCATCAATAGTATCGACAAAAAATAGAAAAGCGTGTAAACAAGAAAGCAAAGGGCAAATAGGAGGTCAATCTAAAGATCACCAAAAGAACACAAACAAAGAGAATCTCATATATACGAAAATCCTTTCCTTTTAGCTCCAATTTGAAGCTGTTGTCGAAGAATATACAACAGATTCAGAGCAATCAATATTCAAATAAACAGTAATAAAAAATGTAATTAAAAATAAAAGAATATAATAAAATCAACAAAATGAAAACAATTAAGTATTATAGAAAATAACCAAAAAGACATCAATTATTCTATTTCTACAAATAAAACACATATTTATACCGAAAAAAATAAAGATAAATATAAAAATACGATAGTTGACATATGAAAAATTGAAAATACCTGCTTGAACAAGTTAGAGAGAGATCGGCGTTTCTCAGGATCATCATCAGCACCAACTTCTACTTCCTTCGTCACTTCTTCCGCCACCACCGTCACATCCTTCGCCGCCGTAACATTCTCCGGTACGTCTTCCGGCGCCTCTCCTTTCAACTCCTTTGGCTTCGTTGCACACGCTCCCATTTCAGAGAAAATAATCAAAACCCACGAAACCCCTTTTTCTTCTTTTATTTTCCCCTTATGAGTTTTTTTGACTTAAGAGAAAAAGAGAAGAGAGATTTTATAGTGGCGGGAAGGTTTTATAGTCTATTTCAGACGATCTTTTTCCTAAAGCCCAGAGAGATTTTAGTGGGACTTCACCTTCTTTTTTTTTCCTTTTAAAATCATTTTTCCTTATTTTTCTTTAAACCTTTTTGCTACTTATTGTGTCTTAGAGAGAAAAATAATGATCGTGTGTTCCTACATACTTATGGAAAGTTAATCAGTATTTTATTTGATTACCATTTTATTTAGAAAAGAACTAAACAACATTGTCCAAATTCATAGTACCTAAAACTAAATGGCTTTTTTAATTAAAGAGTTTAGATTTTATGTACGGACATTAATATATATATATATATATATATATATGTAATCAGGTCGCTTATAAAATAATTACAGGTAAAGTATAAATATCAATTAGTAATTTGATAAAAATATTAAAATTTACATTAGTGTAAATAACTCTTTAACACCGTCTATGTGTATAACTTAATAAAAAATTCAATGGTTAATACTAGTATGTTGGATCATGTCTTTTTTTCTTTTTTGGGATATCATGAGCTTTAATATTTGTGTGAGGGATGCGAAGTAAAGGAAAACTTAAAGATAAGATCTAAATATTTTACCTTTAAATATGCTATTATGATTGAGTAGTTTTATTAGTAAGTTATTGCTAAATTCTCTTCATTTTTTTTTCAGCGAAAATGAGAGTCGACCACGTTAAGAGAAGGAAATTAAAGGGTTAGACATTTATGATATAAAGTAGAGCATTGACCGGTGAAATTTCAGGCAATTTTGTGTATGACTTTATCTGTGAAATTTCAGGCAATTATGAGTTTATCTTTTTCTTTCCCACGCTAACCGCAACAGAAAACTTGATCAGATACATTCAAATAGGTACTACTTTCTCTTTTCACTTTATTTATCGTAATTTAACTTGAATGTGATTTAATAAAGATACAAAGGTCTTTCAATGTTGTGGACTTAAATAATTTAAATTATTTGTGTGGTGATAAAATTTTTGAAACTTATATTTTAAAATGTAACATTATATTTGTGTGGTTGTAATAATCTCTTGTTAAGGAAATAATGTAATGTCTCATTTATTTTTTCGGCAAAGAGCCAAATATACCCCTGTACTTTTGAAAATGGTCTAAGAATTATTCTCGTTATACTATTGAGTTATCTATACCCCTACAGTCATACTTTGGGTTCAAATATACCCCTCATTTAAACGGAGGGACACGTGTCATCGTCCTGTTGGCCAATTCTAAATATCTCCTAATTAATTAAAAAAACTCATTACCTATACCCGAAGAGCAATTTTCGAAAGCAACTTTTTTTGTAAAAACTGATTTTTTTAATACTAAAAACTGAAAAAACAATTTTTTTTTCCAGTTTTTAAACAAAACTGAAAAATATTTTCTAAAATAATTTTTGTGTAAAAACTGGAAAAAAAAAAAGCTGAAAAGCAATTTTCTAAAACAACAAAAAACTGAAAAAAATTGAAAATTTTTAACTAAAAACTGAAAAAAATAAATATTTTTTTCCAGTTTTTAGAAAAATATTGCTTTAAAAAAAACTGAAAATTAATTTCTAAAGCAATGTTTTTTGTAAAAATTTTAAAAAAAAAAACTGAAATTTATTTTCTAAAGTAATGTTTTTGTAAAAACTGGATTTTTTTCCCAGTTTTAGTTAAAACAAATTCAGTTTTTTATAGTTTTTAATTGCTTTTCAGTTTTTACAAAAACATTGTTTTAGAAAATATTTTTCAAGTTTTTTTAAAGCAGTTTTTTTTTTTTGTAAAAACTGGAAAAAAAATTCATTTTTTTCAGTTTTTATATAAAAAAATTAGTTTTTTTTTCAGTTTTTACAAAAAACATATTGCTTTAGAAAATTGCTTTTCGGGTATGGGTAATGAGTCTTTTTAATTAATTAGGAAATATTTAGAATTGGCCAACAGGACGATGACATATGTCCCTCCGTTTAAATGAGGGGTATATTTGAACCCAAAGTATGACTACAGGGGTATAGATAACCCAATAGAATAACGAGGGGTATTCTTAGATCATTTTCGAAAGTATAGAGGTATATTTGACCCTTTGACGTTATTTTTTTAATGAATCAATAAAAAAATAGTGCCAAATAAAGTGTAGCATGACGAATTACTTTTTTTCCCACTACATTACAAGTTTATACGCAATAAATGGGGATGGAGTAAAATAGAAATGTATATTCATAGATGTTCCCACATAATATATATATATGTGTATTATATACATATAATATTCTTATTTTAATATATTTTTAACTAGCAAATGTGATTAATTGTGATTGGCCGGCCAATTTTATATTTTGCCCAAGAAATGTAAAAAGCTCTCGAGCATAAGTGAGAGCTCCATCAGGATCCTCTGGATTAACTTTCCTTTTCAAATTTACCACATTATTTTCATACCAAAATAGAACCTACAGCTACCCCCAATTTCCTTATTCCCATTTAAATTAAAAATATTGAGATTATTATTATTATTATTATTATTATTATTATTATTATTATTATTATTATTATTATTATTGTCAAAAGTAAAGACCGAGAAAGGAGTTTTCACGTTTTGTTACAAAAGATTTAAACTGGTTAAGAGGTAATGTTTAGTTTAACCGAGGAATAATATTCAAATCACGTAGAATATACGCATATTCTGAATTGTCATTCGAATGTGCTACAATATTCAAACGAGTGCAAGAAAATTAGAATTAATAATCTGAACATCTACCGACCAAGTTCAACACGTATTTAGGAAAATTCTTATCGCTTAACGGGTTCGCAACACGCAACTAAGGTCCCGTTTGCCGTAAAAAAAATTTCTTTTTTTCAAAAAATGTGTTTGTCCATGAAATTTTGCAAGTTAATGAAATTTTTTCGAAATAAGTTTTTAAAAAATTTCAGAAAGAGTTTTTCTCACTCACAAAATTGCAATATTTTTTCAAGTGAAATACATGTCCAAACATAATTTCAAATTCCAAATAGTATTTTTCAACTTAACTTCAAATACAACTTTTTTTTCCCAAAAATTACAATGTTTATATCCAAACGCCTTCTAAGTGTATACAAAGAAATAGAGTCCTAATCACAATTTTTTTTTTCAATTCAAATGTGTTTAGTTTAATCACGGTTATTAAGTGAAGGCTGAAAATCAGAATTGACGACTCTTTGTTTAGAAATATGACGGGGGCCATAATGATATTTTATAATTTGGAATAAATAAGTTAATAACAGAACATGATAATGCTTGGAATAGTCAATTGCGTCCAGTGTAATTTCTTTGGTCAATAAAGGGTTATTTTATTATACATTAAATGGGTACAAAACTTGACATTTGTAAGGTATGTAGTTCCTATTTGGTCTTGTACAAAAGACGGTGGGGAATCAAAATTGAGTTCTAAGTTATATGCACGATAGTATAATGAATTTTTACATCTTCAAGTTATATTTATTTGTTCTAAAATATAATTATCTTATTATCAAAATTACAAATTTTATATTTTAAGAATACATATCTATTGAGTCTTGACATCATTTAGGTAATTTGGTAGTATAAATTTTTTTATTACATTGACAATATATATATAGCTTAAACTCATCAACATAAACTAGTCTAGCAAGCTCATTTTAAGTAATCTCCAACCAGCTAATGAACTTTTCCATGTGGTAGGGTAACTGTTTTTTTAAATTTTTTTTAAAATATATTTTGAGCATCTAGGAAAAATTGTTAGTCATATGCGAAGGTGAATTTAGTATTTGAATTTTGTAGGTCCGGATTTATATTTTATCGTATATCATTTAATTTATTGGGTTCAAATTATTTTTATTTATTCATATTCTTTTAAACAAATACTAAACTAAGACTACCAGTTCAAATTAACTCCTAGTTTTCACTAGATCCGTCCTTGAGTTGAGCAAAATAGACCATAAAGAATGTTCATTTTTATGAATCACTTATTTATACTAAAAGATTAGTATAAATTGCCTCTGATTTAATATTATGAGTCAGTTTTAACTCTTAAATCCAAATATATATGTATTCGTTTATTTATAAAATTTGATCCAATATCTAAAAATATTTTTCATAATCCAATTTATGGTCAACTATTTTTAATTAATCAAAGCCAAACAGGCTCAAGATCGTGTTACATACTAAAAGGAGAGTGCTCAACTTACGAGGACTAAAAGGGAAACAATAATAAGAAACATTATACGACCTTGGGACAATAATTCTACTACTGTCCTAAGCTAATCGAACAAAAAATCGATTTAAATTTTATTAACTCGTTTGTCAAGTCTGTTTAAAAGTACAAGTCAAGATCTTATATCATATCTCGTGTAATTATTCAAGTTTATATATAGACATATATTATGGTAAAGAAGAAAGAATTTGAGTTTATATATAATAATAGAATAAAAATTTGAGATAATTACATTTTTAGGTCACCTTAAAAAATAATAGTCGGCAAATATATACACACACACATACTAGTCTTAGGATATGCGCTTTGTGCGTATACCCATATCAATAATATAAAATTTTAAAAAATTATATAAATATTATTAAATTTTGTATATCTTACGTGCAATTATCAAGTGTCGTTCGATAGTATTTTTAAAATTTAAAGTTGAGTTGAAGAGAATAATAATTATGACCATTGGGATAAGGTATATCTAATAATAGTATTTAGTAGTATTTGTATTTGTATATAACCAGAGATTGAAACATAATTTTTCACAAAAAGTCTTTCTCGATATTTTTCTTTTTTATTACACTAAAATAATTATATTATATAAAATTAATTAGTTTTATTTTTGTGATCGATTTATAAATCTATAATTGATAATAAGAAAAATCGAAGGAGTATCGACTGATATTATAAAAAGATATTTAATATAGAATCTTATATAACTCAAACAAGGATTTAATGTACACAATTTAGTTAAATTAAAAATGTTAGTCGCTGAGCACAATTTTTTTTAAAATTACATAATAAAAATATTTTTCAGTTATATAAGTTTTTGAAAATGATAAATATTAATAGCAAGCTTAGATTGTTAAATAAAACTGAGAAAAAAATATAAAAGCTAAAGAATT